AATAATGGAATAATATAAACGAAGTTAGAGAGTTGTGTGATTAGTGACTTGATATGATTAAGAGCTGTAATAATTTGTGCTCGAAAGGTCATCAGTAAACATTACTGTATAACACTGTGAGACTTCGTCAAAACAAAATTTACCCATAATGGAATTACACTCTACCACAGTGCACAAGTTTTATTCTTATATCAATTTTTGTCAACAGGCACGTCGATTCTTGAGAGCATTAGAATAAAAACATCTTTTGTGATACTGAACATCCTTCTTATTGGGAACTTTTGCCTTGTATATCTTCGGGCAATACCAGAAAACACTTCATACAACACTTCGTACAACTAAATATAAAAATTCTGCTATCCTATACTTACCATAGGTTTTGTGTGATAGGTCAGATGTCAGAAAACAACTCACAAACTTTTTAAATCAGTAAATGGACTGCAAAGTATAAGCGAAGATTATTATTGCGTGTAGGATGCTAACTATCTATAATTCATTATGTTTCCACCGATCTTCAGTTGTTTGTGGTTTTGTTATTATTTTTTAAGATATTACGTATCTACATGTTTATAAAAGGAGCTAAATTGTTGCTATATGTATAAAAACGCTGAAAATTACATTCTCTATGATTGTTTGGAATAAAGTGATTATTATTGTTAAATAATGCCCTGATATGATTCATTCATGCCTGTAAAGCTGTTTTTAATAATCTCCATTCTATATGTGGTTGGTTGTGAAACACACTCGATGTGAAAGCTCTCATAATACCAAAGAGTTTTCATCCAATAAGGTATAATTATATTTTAATAGTTTACACACAATGATAAGTTTTGTTATTGGTAATATTTCGAGTAAAATTACTGCCCGTGTTCACACCACTGTTGGAATTGTTTGATTCGTTTTCATCCACCTTGAATCTTTTCTGTCTCTGTGTTATAAGCTTCAAGCTGTGGATATAACCGAATCATGCATACATTGCTCTAAACATAAGAATACAATGTGATAGACAATTCACTTATTAACATCATCTTTTGTTTATAGAGTGTCAGTAAAAACAATTCTTCTCTTCTACTCAGGGTGATTGAGTAATTTTCCGTTGGAAATATCAACACTCATTGGAAGGTGGTGAGTCCTCAGAGTGCTACTTGAGGTCTTTATTCCAATAATTAAATAAATAATTTTTGGAATGAGAATACTGTGATAGAGACTGGATAACTAATAAGGTCCACTAATGTAAACAGCATAAATTTTAAATAAAGAGCGAATTGTATTATTTTGCCTTTTGTATTTTATTATTTCACATCTTCATTTGTATTATTCTCTACCCCACCCTTTTGGATTCTCTACCCTCATTAACAATGTTGCTAACTCGACCCACGTCCAATTTCTAGTCAACTATGTTGCGTCATCCGATTAACTTACTTAATTTTCAACTGTATTATTCTCTACCCCACCCTTATTTAACTATAACCACCTTTCATTAACACTGTTGCCAACCTGACCTACTCTGAATTCTACTCAATTGTATTACGTCATCCAATTCACTTTATCAATTTTACTTTCTTTTCTATCTAATTAACGTTTGTTTCCAAGCCAAATAATACTTATATTACGTAATTATCTGAACTTTATAAATCTAATGTACACACACAGAAACAAAATTGTATATATATGCGACTGTACAGCTCAGTGAATGAATTCGCCGAAAAGAGTCTCTTCGCTGAACGCCTTCTTTTCTTTTAAAGAGCGAATTCTCATCTTCACTGTGGTAGAAGTACTTATGAACTTATTGAACTCTTTCAGTAACTAAAGCCACCAATTATTGTTATTTGTAAACAAACTGACCAGTATGTCTCTTATTTCAATTAATATTAGATCATTGTCAAAAAGTCCTTTTCAACAAATTCATCAGGAGAAATATGATTAAGAAAGTTGAAAAGGACTATTCACTATCCGTAAACAAGAAGCCTTTATAAATACGACTGCATTTCAAGGGCGATGTACTTAGCGAAATGATTACGAAGAATTCATTGCTAATCCCCATTCAGGCATTAATGAAACAAAAACACGTAGTTCAGCGAAGAGTCTCTTTTGGGTGAACCCATTTTCTTAGCTGTACAACAGTAAATAAATATGGGTTATTTTGTATGTGTATGTCTACATTAAGTTTGTCAAACAAAAATACAATTGGTCATGGTTATTTTAACGAAACAGGTGAAAATTAGTAAGTTTTGGGTGGAGTTATGTAATACAAAAACGGTCAAGCAAATTTGGTGTTAATGAAACTAGTATAGTAACAAAGGTGATGAGTTGTCCCAAACAGTTGTTAAAAAGAAATTACTTAATAAAATGAATAATTTGATGAACGAGTTGTACTCATGATACACATAGGAACAAAGTAGAGAATACTGAATTACGTAAGAGTTCTAAATGAATACAGGAATCATAAACAATTAAAGAAACAGGCAAACAAAGAAAAATTAAGTCATCAAAAATCAATAAAGTTGTTACCTGTTTGCCTTGTTTGCCTGCTTCTTTAATTGCTTAATCAGTTCAAAGAATTTTTAGTGCTCGGAAACTACAAGTCATATTTTCCACACGAACGATGGTGATTACTCAATTGAAAGAAGATGTACCTAAACTAGTCACTTCTAATTGTATCTACCAATTCAACTGCGCTTGTGAAGCGAGTTATATTGGCCATTGTTCCAGGAACTAGGTTTTCGCACTCAGGAACATCTACCAGTGTGGCTAAGTAAGTAAAAGCCACCAACAGTTTGATATTAGACGACCTAGTCCAAACGGGCTATTAAGCCAGTATTGAAGAATCCTTCTCTATCATCTACCAGATATCAAATAAATTTCCAAAAACATCCAGGCTCCGCATACTGCAAACAGAAGAGACTATCTCGATTCGTCTTAAACAACCAGTGCTCTGTGTGTAGAAGCAGCAAGTCCAGCGAGCCTCTACTACTGCCCTGGCCTTCATGGAGACTATAGATTCGTGAATTTGTATTATTTTCTTTCCTAATTTTGCTGATATTCAATGTATGGTTATGTTGATGTTTTCGAACTGGAAAATGGATATCCTCCGAGATTTATCGAGAAAAACATGAAGTTAAAGCAAAAGCCTGAAAGAACCCAGAGAGTGCCGAAGAAACTGCTATTTAAGAACGCTGAAATTAAAGATGATACCGCAGCTGAGATCCTGAAGAACCGCTTATGCAGATCACTGAGAAAAGCCTTCTCTGTGGCTGAGCTACGGATCAATTCCTACACCCGACAAATGATCAATGGATGTGTGAAGGATAAACTGCCGCTTTGGGCCACTTTAATGTGTGTTTATAAATCCACCTGCTCGTGTGGAGCTAGTCACATTGGTTGCACAAAGCGCACACTTTCCAAACGCATCTCTGAACATTATCTGGTATGGTTAGCAAATGGACAGTGCAAGACAGTCACCAGCTCAATTCTCGAGCAATTGGTGAACTCAAGCCACGTAGCTCCACCATAGTCGTCTTTCAAGATTATCTGCAAGGTGGGGTCAAATGGTACAAGTCGCGTCAGGTTTCGGCATTCGTGTATGGTGGAGGCGTCACTACAACCGCGAACCCTGTATACAGGAAACGCTTGTTCAGTCTCTTATTCTACCATGGTCTTAACCTCTTCACTAGTCGTTCCCTGTAATTTAATTTTCAATTTACTTTTACTTTATTAATTAATTCACTATTATCACTCTCATATGTTCCTTTTGTACATTTGCACACCCTCTTCACACTTGTTAAATTAACACTCAACTACCTTTCTTCTCACTCAATAACAATTTTAACCTTATCAAATTTCTAACCCTTTCTTCCTTTTTGCCGTTGAGTACTACGTAGTTTACAGCTTTGACATTTACTTCTAAAGCCGCTTCTAAGTAATTGTGTCACTCCCTATTGTTCAATAATAGACTACTATACATTTTTGGTAAATATAAATACAACTGTACAGCCTGTAAAGAAGCATTTTCTTCGCTGAATAGTTTCTTTTATTCTCTTGATGACTCAATGGGTATTTTCGGTGATTTGATGCAGAGCAAGAACCCTGTGACAGTGTGAAAGAACTTGATACGTTTTTAGGTTTTCTGTTAAGCTTGCCATAGTGAACACAAGAATCAGTTTTCCAGTACATTAGTTAATAAATTTTAAGAAAATTAAGAAAAATGTTTAGATCTGAATGATGCAATGTCAGTCTTGATAATCCTCTTCAAGTGATTTTTTTTCTCAGATAACACAACTGCCTTTTCTTATTGTCATTCCTAAATGTATTTATTATTATAATTCTCTTTGAAAAAGTATGCTAATCTCGGCTTCCCTTTTTCAATATATATCTTAGACACTAATCAATCTATGTATGTTATAGTAGTAATATGCATCTTAAATGGGCTTCCTTGTTGCAGTGATTTCTCCACTTCACGACAAGATATACACTTCAAACATATAATTCTCTTATGAGCAACATTCTTGTATTATTATTATTTCGATGAATTTGTAGTCTGATTCTTTGGATTTAGATTTGTATCACTTTTCGCTTAAAGTTTTATTGTTGCTGTTGCTGTGGTTGTTGTACCTATTATAACTACACTTATGCCTACACGCATACTTGTAGTGCACATTGTATATGCAGTCCCAGTATGCAATACATTTGGTATCATGTAAAACTCTTAGCAATTCTCTGTAACCAAATACTGTGCGTGTTTTTCTTTCCAAAATCAGATTGTAGACTTCAAATTATATTTGATTGAATTTCTACCTTTGAAAAACATCTTATGATTGATAGTGTGTGCAACACAGTTAGTTACTTGGTGGTTAGTTAATTTTTTTTTTAAAGTCAATCAAAACAGAGTTAAATTTTATTGACTCTAATTCTTCAACTTCCGTCATTTGATGTGCAAGCGTACAGAGATAACCACAGTTATATTTTTTTTAAATTTTTTTTTCCGTTTTTTTAATCTTTAGACTGTTACAATAGCTGTATACGCATATTTCGGTACATGTTTACTTGCATGGCAGTATTTGGATCCGGCTAAAAATTATGAAGGTCATGATGTTGATATATATGTGCCAATCTTCGGTCTCCTACGTTTCTTCTTTTATATTGGATGGCTTAAAGTAAGTTGAATTTTGAATACCTTTAACTATTCGCATGGTAGGTAAGTGGCTGGTAACATTTTGTTTATGTACACTTAGATTTAGTGGAGAATGATTGTTTGAATTACATACAACTTGGATTTATTAGGAGTATTCACCTACTTGTTTGTTCGATTTAAGTTGTGTGTATGTTTGTTTGTTTTTTGAAGGCAGCCTGGTGAAATCAATGAGCTGTCTGAATTTCCATCCATCAAAATGCCTTAAACTCTTCTGCATTTCTGAATGTTTTGATCAAACAGCCATATGAAACGGTGACTACATGAACTCACACACATATTTAATCAGCTTTCAACGAGACGCTGTGCAGTGTTTGTAGGAAGTGAAGAGAAGATGAACAGAATTAGTTCTCTCTCTGTCTCTCTTCATATGTAACAACACTATGTCACATGATACATATATACTTCAGATTATTAATTTACATGTTAAATCCAGTATGAAGAGGGAATATTTTGGAACTAAATATTATGCTCTAATATTCTTCTCTATTTGTTAATCTTGCTTTATTGGTATTTACGAAGTCAATTTTTCTTGTTAAAGTCAATCAGGTGGATTCATTAAACAATTAACGGTACACAAAGCGATACTTATTTGTTGTCGTGTATTTATTATGATCACTATTATTTCCTTTAATTCCTAGAGGAACATAGGGCTTCAGCCGCGCGTCTCCATTGCGTTCGGTTCTCTGCTAGAGTTTTCATCTGGCTCCAAGTCTGCTCACATGCATTCATCTCCCCTTCACATGACCTCCTCCAAGTCACCCTCACGCTGACGACCAACTCGTCGCTTCTCTTTCGGGTTCCACTCAAGGGCTTGTCTAGTGATGTCACTTGATGGTTTCCTCAGAGTATGGCCAATCCATCTCCATTTCTTCCTGCCTATTTGTTTCACAATCGGTTCCTGCTTGGTTTGCTCCCATAGATCTCTGTTGCTGATATTTTCTGGCCGGCCATCTGATCTTGAGTATTGAGCGAAGGCAGCTGTTGATGAAGGTCTGTAGTTTGTTTGAGATGCGCTTTATGACGCGCTGGCCAAGCCTCTGATCCGTATAGTAGTACCGACTGAGTTCACATTGGAGTTGAAAATCTGGACCTTATTTTTCATGCTGAGTGCTGTTGGTCTGTACACAGACTTGAGAGTAATGAAAGCTCATCTTACTTTCCCAATCCTCGCTTTGATATCCTCATCAGTTCCGCCTGTAGTTGAAATGATGCTTCCCAGGTAGGTAAAAGAGGTTGTTTCTTTCAGGTTCCTTCCATTTATGCTGATTGTTGTCTGTTGTTGTTGTTGCTGTTGGTGGTGTTGCCCAGGAATCTTCATCACCTCTGTTTCCTCTATGTTCACCTGAAGTCCTATCTTTGATGCTTCTTCTGCCAACTTGTTACTTTCCACTTGCATATCTTCCAGTTTGTGGGAAATCAGACATGTATCATCGGCGAAGTCGAGATCCTCCAAGTTCTTTGTGTGAGTCCATTTTATGCCTGTTTCCTCATTGCCCACTGTTTGTCGCATTATCCAATCTACTGCAATCAAGAAAATCATTGGCGATAGTAGGCAGCCTTGTCTTACTCCTTTCCTCACTTCGAAGGATTCCGTAAGTTTCCCGTTGTGGATTACTTGGCATGCAGCATTGTCGTACAGCTGTTGTATGAGATGTATAACTGTCGTTGGCACCCCGTAGTGCCGAAGTAGTTGCCAAATCACCTCTCGATCGACGCTGTCAAAGGCCTTTTCAAAGTCGATGAAGTTGAGATAGACAGGTGACTGCCATTCCAAGCTTTGTTCAGTGATGATCCGTAATGTGGCAATCTGATCAATACATGACTTGTTCCTTCTGTTTCCAGCCTGTACCGATCGAAGTTTTTCATCCAGGGCTTGTTTGATTCTCTCGAGGATGATGCGGCTTAGTATTTTGCCTGGGATGGACAGGAGCACAATTCCAGGCCAGTTCTTGCATTGACTTAGGTCTCCTTTCTTTGGTGGTTTGAATAAGTATCCTTTCTTCCAATCTTCGGTTACTTTGCCCTCGTTCCACACCTTCTCCAGTAGTGGCGTCATCAAGTTGGCTGTTGTCTCTGGGTCCGTTTTCAACGCTTCTGCTGGGATTCCATCTGGTCCTGCTGCTTTTCCAGCTTTTAGCATCTTGATTGCCTTCAGGACTTCTGATTTCGTCGAGGGGTTGATGTTCACTGGTAGCTCTGTCTCCGTCGTTGGTATTGTTGGGCGCGTTGTAGGTGGTGGTCGATTTAGGAGTCTTTTGAAGTGTTCAGCCCAGTGTTTCCTTTGCTCCACTTCTTTGGTGATTGACTTTCCATTGGCATCCTTCACTGGCCTAATTTAACAAAGTGAAATAATTTGATCACTTTTAAAATCAGTGCTTGAAATCATTGGAAAAAATATATAGAGAAATGAATGGATTAACGTTAAAATGCTGCAAGAACAATTTATGTTGAGTAACTTGATTTATGAGTACGTAAAAGAGAATTCTTGCAAAACAGGCATCATTTTTAATTTTGCTAGATTTCCCAAGTAGTGCACAAAGACAAAGTGAACATCGTGAGATTTTCCATATTTCAGATAATTTTGTTTGATACAGTACACATTAATTATAGTTTGGTGCAGAGAGAATCAACTCTGACCACGTAACTTCACTCCTTAACATAAGGAAGATTGTATTAGAGGGGAACAGAAAGGAGTTCTTTCCTACGGTTAACAGATTTCAGAGTGAGCGAGTCACGAAGAGCGTTCCAAATAGGCTGCAGACTTTCATCATACTGAATATCAGATGGCCAGAAAGAATCAGCATCAAGTAACTGTGTTGGGCGACGAACCAACCAAGCATTTATCGCCCAACAAATATGCCGAAGAAAATGGAAGTGGATTAGATACACTCTAGCAGACCGTTGAGTGACATCACATGTCATGTAGGCCCTCAAGCGGCACCTGATTGGATGTTTGAGGGTGACATGGAGGAGATCGTGTGATCAGCAGACAAGAGGTTATGGATATTCGTGGACTGCAGACAAAAGGATGAAACGGAAATCTGCTGTTGAAATTCATGTTCCACTTGGGACCGAGGGAATAATAATAAGGAAAGAGTAAAACTATTCAGTGTAATTTAGAAAGTCGTGTGAATACCTTGATCTGATTATGCACTATATATTGGCTTCGGGACTTCAGTGAATTGATAATAATAATAATAATAACTAAGCAATTACTTCTTCATTAAGGTGATCAATCGTAAAGACCTCGTCACATATTTTGTACCTTTCTCCATGGTTAAGGTCAATAATTACAAATTAGCTGTATTGGTATGCATTTTTTTACCTGAGAATGTAAATCACTTCTAAAGTATTAATCTGTCTTTACTGGCCACTAGACTGAGGCTGGCTGAATACTATCAGTCAAGTGTGCAAGGTAGCCAACACACTAGGTGACTGGCCATAGCCGTGTACTTGGAATTGGTATTATGCGGCTAGAGTCAATCTGTCAGAAGACTTGGACGTAGGTTCCGTGCTTGTTGACACTCTTCAGCAATGTGTATCTGAAATCCTTAAACTATGTAACTCATTAATCTAGTCAGAGATGTTGCCACTGTGCTATTCGAGCTTACGATTAACGCCATTAACAACAGGATGTTCTTTTCAGATATATTTAGAAATCCTGTTGTCTGATGTGGTTGCATAAATTGGTTGCCAATCGATTCAAAGTACTCTGATTAATCTTTTCACAGATTACCAACTGGTTTTTGTTACTCCCACAAGTACAAGTAAACAGCCCTAATGGTCTCGTTATTTTTACAGGTTCATTGGTTACCCAATTCACTAATCTCATTCATCTATCTCTATGTATATACAAAATAGGTAGCTGAATCATTAATTAATCCATTTGGAGAAGATGTTGATGACTTCGAGATTGAATACTTGATTGAAAGAAACTTACATGTAAGTTACTCTTAATATCAATGGGGTTTTTAATATAGTTACGTATGTATTTATTCAAAGCCCCCTTAATAATGTTTCGTTGACAAAAGTGTCTAGTGATCAGTTGTAGCACATTCCTTCATTGAAGTTTCATGTTCTTTGTTCACTGGTTTTAATTAGCTAATTTATTTTTTGAATTGTTGTGAATTCCTGACTTCTGACCTTCTTCAGTATAGATAGAAAGAAATGTTGACACCTAAAAATTTCGACTATTCAACCTTTTCGTTCATAAAAACAAATGGCCTTTGTGTTTTCTTTTGTATGCGTAATTACGAACCTCCATATTTATAACATAACTTTCTAAAAGGCAGATTCTGCTACAGTTTAAATAGTAGAACTGAATATTTGGTGGTTATTTCAAAGTAATTTAAAGTAAATACGAACGAATTAAGAAGATAATCTTAATTTCTCTGAGGTTAGCTGAATACTTTATAAACTTTTTACAACATACACTAACTAGCTGTTAAAGGGTTCAATTGGGTCAAATAATTGAATAGTCTTGACAGGGAAGAAAAGCGTAGACTGTCAGAAAATCCTTAGAAGCCTGTTACTAAATAAAATCAATTCATAATTAGTAGACATGTCGATGCAGATAATTGGCATAAGTGTATAGAGGATCAGTCACAAGATCAAAAGGTTAAATGTAAATGGAATTACCAGGGACAAGCAGCCACAACCAAGATCATCTATAAGCAACGCCGAACGTTGACTTCTTAACTGATGTTAGAGTTGTTGATTTCGTCTAGACGGACAATGAATATTTCTCGAATAAGCTTTTCAGCCCAGAGAAAACGATAATGCCAAATACATCCTCCTTGAGATACAGATCTTCTCCTTCGTCTCAACAACCAACCACGTTACCATTTGTCCAAGGTGCATAAGCATTTTAATATACAATGGTTTTGACTAGTGGAGATGTATAGAATCAGTTGTGAAGAACACACTGTGTATTTCTGCTTAATTTGTGATAATCAATTTAAGGTCAGAGAAAAATATGTGGAAAAATAAAGAAAACAAATACAAAAGTATGTAGTGAATACTGATGAACAGCTTGAGATGAAAATGTGAATGTTGGTTATTTTCTCACTTTTCTGATCGACTTTTACACACATTCTTGGTAGCCTCTAAATATTGATTGTACTTGTTATTGTTTCTTTCGATCAAGAGGCCTACAGTTATTTGGTTAGTGCAGACTAATAATAATCAATGAGTTTGTAGGCTAGTTTTTACTTTGTTTATGTATATAGTATACGGTATGTGATGTCCTAATCTTATATTGAGTTCAGTCCGTGCTGAACTTAGTTATCAATGTAAACCTATGCATAAAAGTGCAGCATTTCAAGTTACCACACTTCACAAAGCATAGATAAAGGTAGCCAAAAATGTCTTTAAAAAAGGAACTATAATAGACGGAAATCTGCTAAAGAAAGAATAATCACACGAGGAATAATGATAACTTAATGAGTCAATGAAATTAAGCCTCTGCAAAAACACTCTTAAAGATTAATCTGATGCTCGCTAGTGATTGGCTGCAGGACAAAGATTCCTGGAGTTCTAGTGAGAACGTGTGTCCATTAGGGTCTGTCCAGTCAGGAGTGAGGGCAACTACTCGCCGCCGATAACACTGACTAGTGTCGGTGGCGCTAAAGTGACGAATTGTTGCAAGTCCGAATTCATGGACTAGTAACTGATTCGAGTTAGAGCGGTTGAATGGTCTACAAGCTCGCCTTGTGACCGGAAGGTCCCGAGTTCGAACACCTGTGGGGGATGCAGACTGTCGATGAGTCGGGAATTAGGACGAAACGGCTTTCCAGTACTCCCTACAGGTTTTCAACGACTCTTTAACTGATATCAATCCATGGTAAAACTTGAAACTAAGGAAGCCCTTACTACCAAACTTTTGAAATCATATTCGAATACAGATATTATAAAAGAAGTAAGTATTATTGCTTCCGATTTCTTTCTCTTATGAACACAATTTTGATTATTGATGCATTTCCTCTGCAGCAATGCTGCCTGTTCAACGAGAATCTCAGTAGATTGTCTGTAGCCCACTGTCAATAATATTTTCGCCTCTTTTTTCTTTAAGGCGAACATTATTCACGTCTTCTAGTCAGTAGTATAATGTTAAACTGTAAAAATGCAAAGTACATTTCTTTTCATTGGAGTTTAAGGTATATTAGTGTGACTGAATTGTTTTTTACTACAATCAGCTAAAAGGACGACAAGTTCAAGTTAGTTTCTCAGTATAAGATCTTTTGTCTGGAGAACCAATGACAACCAGGATAGACTTAATAGCTGTTTACTCTAGTTTAAAACTTTAAACATCGAACAATCGTTGTAACCGACAGAAATATCCTTCTGTGTTTGTTGTTCTGCGTTCTAATATGCTGCATTTATTATTATTTTTCTTTTCTGCATAAAGAAAGTACACTATATAGTCTTAGTTAAGGTCATAATTCTAATTCGTTGTATATCATGTAGCTTAAGAGGGTTTTCATTTGAATATTTATGTAAATATATATACTGAGGTTTAATAGTTGCCCACCCCCTCCCCCAACTATAGTTGTGCTTCAGTTGTATACATATAACATACAGTTCGTAAATTTATTCAGGTCAGCTTAAGAATAAGTCTCTGAAAAGAGTTACACTTTGTAACATGCATTTTGTATTGTTCAGTGATAAGGATCTTGAAACTGCGTCAACAACACAGAGAAGGGGTGATTTTTCCCTTTTACTTATGGTTTGCATGAATAATATTCAGTAAACATGAGGACTGATTTTAGATAAATTGATCCTAATTAGTCTTGTTTTCTCTTTAACTGTTGTGTATTACACGCCTAAAATCTTGTTTAAATTCATATAGTCCTCTTCACTACTAAGTGTAGGGGAAAAGCCCACAACAGTTAATAAAAGTCAAAGCATTACACATTAGTGTGTCAATTAGTTGTTTAGTACTCATAGCATATGTTAAAAAGAGAGATTACCATAGAGACAATAACGCCTAGTATCACAGTATTAAAATGATTGTCATCTGGAAAAAAATTCTATTTCCTTCTTTAAGAAAAGTAAGAAATTTGCTTGTTTGTGTGTTTGTTATCACGTGTTGAACAGTAGGAATTTGATTGGTTACAGGTTTGGCGACAAGCTTACATCGGTTAGAGAACCATTGAAAAATCCAGAGAGTACTGGACAGTTGTTTCGTCTTAGTTTGTGACTCTTCATCATTACGCACCCACTACAGCGGTTCTCATCCAGGGCATTTCGATTACAAGGCAAACTTGTAGACCATTCAGCCACTGGGACCGGATTCAATGGCCAGCCCATGAATTCTAAATTCCGCCAATTCGCAATATATATGTATATATAGCACGGCTGGTACCAGCCAGTGTCACAGGCGAGTAACTTGGTGGTTGACCTCGCTCGTTACAACTTCCCACTAGAATTCCAGGTAACTTTCTGTATACAGCCAGTCGCTAATGAGTATGAGATTATCAATCAAGTGTTAGTCTGCAGGGATTTGATTGGTTACAGGTTTGATGGTGATTTGATATCAGTAAGAGAACCATTGAATTCCTGAGAGTATTGGACAGCTATTTCGTCCAAGTTCGGAGTCTTTTATGTTTTATTATTTTTAAGAAATCATCACTATGATAAAATGTTCACCTGATTACTGAATTTAGTATATCACCTTCATATTTTACCCAGTGTTTATATATATATATATACATATATATGTCTTTATTGATTGAAATGGAGAAATGAATAGCTTTTTGACAGGATAACATCTTGTCCATTTTTTAGCATAAAAGATTGACTTATATCAATAAACTATCTTGTACTGATGAAATAAAACAGTTAATGTTTAAGACTGAATTCAGACACCTTGTATGATGAACTTTCGGTATTATCTGGCTGATATGTTGTTCATCACCCAACTCTCACCCCTCGCTCCAAGTGATGAGTCAGCGACTATGAAATTTATTTAGGGATGGTGGTGGGTTTTTTTTAACGTGTTGAGGCTGATAGCTTCATATCCAACCCTCCCACCTCACTTGTTTCGGGGTTCAAAACTGACAAGTAAAACTTGTTGAGGTGCATTGTTAATGGCTATTTAAGTTTTTCACTAATAATCACAATCTTTGCTGAAATCAACAGTCTCAAGAAAACAGTTATTCTGGCATTGATTTTTTTCCTATTACCTATTAGGCACCTGTTCTGTGTTTGTTGATTCTTCACTCGAATACACACCTGTTGATTTCCTAATAGATTTTCCCTAATCCAAACTGGGAATTTCAAGAAATCTTAAACATAAACTGTTGGAAACGTGTATTTCTAAACGAGCGCGTTTTAGGCACTGTAATTACAATGTATATGGCTATAATAGTTGTAGAGAAAGTGTCATGGACTAATTATATCCTGCAGCATTGGGCTGATTAGTGAGTGGCAGTCAGTGTGGTGTAATCTAATTGGTTATTATCTGATTAATGCTTAGCGCAATCCATGTTTGCATGATTGGAGTTTTGACTGATTGACTGACTGACCAACTTTAAGTCTATTTTCTGCCGTTACACAGTCTGAGTTTTTTAGATATTTGTAGGCAACATAAATTTGCCTACACATCTATTACTTGTTTATTGAATATAAACAAACAGAAATAGCCTGAATTAAAGATTATCTGATTTATAACCACTCTCTGAAATTCACTAAACACCATAATAGTGTTGAACACAAGACTTTTTCAATACAGTCAGCCTTAGTAAAGTTGATTCCCAAAGATTACTCAATAAAAATCTTTTTTTTAAACTCAGGGTATCACTCTACAAAACTTATTATGCAGCTAAAGTCACTTTTGCTAGGGAAATGAAATTATTCTGTAAACCGTCATAGTATCCGAAGGACACTGTCACATCCCAATGTGTTTTTTACCAACTTACGTGTGTGTGTTTGGGGGGGGGGGA